TTTTATGTCCACCGCCCCTAAGAAGACGAACAAGATATGTAGCTCTTTGGGACTTTCCTCGTCCAAAATAACACAAATAAAGTCTGATGCAAGATATATCACACGAGTGGGACTAAACCTTGACACAATAAACATGCAATGTTTCTTTAGTAACAGGGGTGTCAAGCTATTATAGGCCTGATAGTCAAGTGCATTTTTGTTCCTGGACAAGATCTAATATCACAATCCACGCTACAGTGTACTCATTGATTATTTAACATATAATAAAGAAAAACCAAAAATAAATTCAATGGGATTAATAAAAAGGATCATCGAAATATTTTAGCGAATGTTATATGTAACGCTGACTTCTATTGATCATGGCCCGCTGAATGATGACAAATGTTCAGTTCATGTTATCGATGTAAGTACTAAACAGAATTGAATTAGAATTCACAGTGGCGACCAAAGGCAAAAACTTTATTCCCCGAAAGCCGTTAAAGGAGCTAAATCGTTAATATTTTGGACCTAGAAATTGACAAAAATGGGTCGCAACGCAAAAAATAATATAAACTGATTTACATTCAATCGTTTCTGTTTTTACTGTAATTTCTAATCAGATATGTTCGGCGAAATACGCCAGAAGGCTCACACCGATTATTTTTATTGCGCATGCTATAGCGTCACCATTTGACGTGACTTGTGGGATATGTCTGGCCCTGTTCTTTGAGTCCCTTGTTCCAAATGGCGCTGAAACGCATTATGGTACACAATTCGTGTACCAATGGTAAAATGTTTATTTTGTCTTGAATATTGGATATCAGAAGCCCATCTTTTTCGTGTAAGATTACATGACCAATGTTGATTTGAATTGACAAATAATTGTGTTTTCAATGTATGAAGATTTTTGATGATATTAAGTTTGAGACTTAGCTACTTTAAGTTCAATCAACTTATGGTCAGAGCCCAGTGCCATTAATCCAGTGTCGAATTTACCCAGGGGGCTCCGGTCACGGTGTATAATATTTTGACATTCGCATTTAAGCCTTTCTTACTCGTACTGTAGGGCTAAATCGCTCATATTTTGGACCTAGAAATAGACACAATGATAATGTAATATAAATGTATATAAACTAATTTACATTCAATCGTTTCTGTTTTTACTGTAATTTCTAATCAGTTATGTTTGGCGATATATGCCAGAAGTCTCAATCGAATGGTAATCTCTAACGTCTGGTTATTCCAGTCTACAACGATAGTATTTATTGTGCATGCCCTCCAGATAAGAATATGCCGTCACCGTTTGATATTCCTCGTGGGATATGCCTAGCCTTGTTTTTCGAGTGCCTTATTACAAATAGTGTTGAAACGCATTATGGTACACGATTCGTGTACCAATTGTAAAATGTTTATTTTGTCTTAAATATTGGATATTAGAGGCCCATCTTTTCCAGGCAAGATCACAACATCAATGTTGATTTAAATTGACAAATAATTCGTGTTTTCACTTAGCTACTATAAACTTTCGTCGTCGTCCCAGGCTTCTGTTCAACACTATACCGCCTGTATGGTGGCTGATTGGTATCATATCGTGATGTCATAGTGCCGCCCTTCATAAGGCGACAACCCGACATCACGACATTTTAACCCGACACCACGACAACCCGACATCATGACATTGTAACCCCACAATACGACATTTTCCTATTTTGCGCTAAAAAATGCCAGTTTACTTCACTTTCTATTTGACCACCTTCTATTTGACCACTGGTTAGAATCGATTGTGCTTATATTTTATTGAATTTACTATTGCACACCATATCTACTGGTGTTTTGTTGTCTGTTAATCCATGTTTGTATTATTCCTCCTTATTCTTGTTAAAGTTTAATTATTTACAAGTAAGTCTTAGCTAGTAGCTCAAAGAGAGCAATTGACATTTCAATGCATTTTGCATTCATGTATACCGAATGTAGATTTGATATGAATATATTGTTTGAGTCGAACAATCAAAACGATATTGTAGTGTTTCTGAAGAACTTTATGATCATGTTAAGAAAGACAAACAAAACAGGATGTTTATTTGGCACCGACGTGTTGAGAATTTATTTTTTTAAAAATAAGAAGACCTGTGACACTATGGGGACAGATGTGGCTATCCTTCGTCACAGCACTAAAAGGAATTAGATGTGACACTTTCGTCTAGGACATGCTTTGACTTCACGTTGTATGGTCAATTATTCAATCACCAATTAACTGACTCTGGAACACCGTTTATGTTGTTACTATGTTTATATAACAAATCCAGCAAACTACAAAGGTTAAATACAGGAAAACTACAATATCTATTATAGATACTGTAGGAGTTATTAAAATATCACGGTCTGAGTTTAACATCCTTTATAATTCTGACCTAACGACTTAAACATCACATTTTGTCTCTATCGCAGCCTCTCAGCCAAAGCGGCTGCGGATATGACGTTCCCCTAGGAACTCACGGATTATGTCTTCTCTACGGCCTCATCATGATGTCTGTATCCCTGGCCCCTTAGCCGTGGAGGCTGTGGGTATGACGTTCCACTGAACTCCGAATGATGTCTGAAGGGAAATTTAACCTTTCTCTTTCTGATATACAGAGTATAGATGTGTCAATTACAATTACCATTTTGGGGTAAGTGTTTCGTATGAGCAGCATTTTACGTCAACCTTATTCTAGTTAATTGTACTAATCCGTGCACGAGATACCTGGAAGATAGTAACCCCCTTTCAGAAATGGATACTGGCATAACTGTCTGTGAGTTAGTCTAAGAAAGTAGTAGAATAATGCAAGCTACTTCATTACCCTAGTTTTTGTCACACATCATGTGGGTAATTAATTTCTATATTAAACAGAACACTTTTCTTAGAACTAAAATAACCCCTATAGTATTACAGACCAACCAAGCACCCCCACAGTCCTCACCCGGATGAGTGCGTTTAGATTTAACCAAATTCTATTGATGATCTTACGTAGGTAAAGTCATACTCAATGCACAGTTTCACGCTTTACTCAGGAAGAGAACGTGTTTTTTATGCTTAGGCGTTGTACTAAAAAAATAAGAATGGTGTCTAGCATTTCTTGAGCTTGCATTTTCCGATCAGTTGATCAGTTGAAAAAGTTCATTAAATTTGGTTAGCTGTTGGTCATGAATCATGTATAATTACATATGTCTTCTCGATCGGCTAGCAATACATTGATATTTGTTGAATATTAATGTCAGATCATCTACCTAAAGTCAGGGCCCTAGATTTCCTCTGAGCATCCATTGGTAACAGTGTTGTTAGGTATGCAAAACAACGCAATATTTAACAGGGGTACTATTAATCATGTTTGAAAGTTTTAATTGAAAATACTGAGCGTAGCGGAAAACGCAAAAGTGAATCGCATGGATTCCGATGGGTTTGTAGGGTTAGGGTAAATGTTATAAAGGTCCCTTTAACAAAACCGGGAACAAACATTACACCACTACAACACAAAGTGTACAGTACACATCTGTAAGGTTAAAGAGAATCATTAGCCGTGCGAACAATCCACAAGAGAATATCGGAAGCAAAAATATAAGTTCCGGAAACTATAAGCATATCAAGTCTATTTCGGGCTCGAGGGGGCGGGGCTTACATCGAGCACCAGTCATCAAGGTTTGCTTCTTAACTTGCTAACAATTCAAAAATCCGAATATTTGGTATCCGATTCGTATTAAATCATTATAACATTTTGCAAAAACGACACGTTACGTTTACGACCCCAAATGCAACACACGTACAGTTGATTGGCTTTTTTTTAAAGTGACAACCTTTTGTTCTTACAAATATATAAATAAAGAGGTTTATTTTTCATCGGTATCATTTGTCAGTTATTTTTGTTGGCTTTGATTGATTAGATATGAACTTGTATGAAACACGAGAGATGTATTTTACCTTTAGCGATGTGTGTGAGGTATTTTGCCAATCATCAGAGAACAGGTAGTCATATTACATTATGTGGGCTAAGATTCCGGCCTTATTAACTCTTAATATCTGACTTTTTACTGACATACTAACATATACATCCCAATACACAAAACTCGTCGTGTCGTCATTGTGGGGGAACGTTTACGGTGAATAAACTCCTACTCAATGACTTTATATAGGAACTAATTTAAGTGTTACACTGGCTTTCATTGCTAATCAGTTGGAGAAAGTTTGCATCCTGGAGTCATTTTGTCGTAAGTTGGCTAAATTACTTGATTATTATTAATTACGGGGCTATAATTATCTTGGGTTTCTTGCACTGGGTGTTATAAGCCTCCATATTTAATTGAATACATTTATATTCAATAATTTCGTTCTAAAAAGGGAAATTGTTCAATCGTTTAGCGGATTAGTATTCAAATGAAAGCATCATGATTTACGAAAAAAATATCTTTACCGAGAGTTCCTCTTCTTTTGCTGTATGAATATGTAAAGTAATTGTTTTATTTTAGTGTCTGGAAATGCTTATTCAATCCGTATGATGAAACTGGGCTTTGTTATATCAATGTATTTAGATCTATATCTTACTTGAATTAAATGTGCTTTTTTTATTAATTCATTAACATTTTAATTTATTCAGTGATATTATGCCAATGACGCATGTTTCTAATGGCCACAACTTATATTTGCTATATAAGCAGATACAATCTTATTTTTCTCTATGTCACCGGTGCGTTCAGTTCATTCCATCCGATAGAAAACGCCTCACAGACTGGTATCACCATTGTGCCCGGAACGAAAATCGTCTCCCAAGACAGGAATTAACAATTTGTAAAATAATTCCTTGTCTATGCCTGACTACATTGTTTGTTTAGAGTTTATATACCGGTGCGTACTTTCTATACTCCCAGATCCAACTTGTATAAATACGAAAGTAAGCTGGTAGTTGTTTAAATGTGACGAACTGAATGAAAGATATGACTTTATCTTAATTGACGTTTGTTTTGATTTTTGGGATCGGTTATATTTTCAGATGAAGACATATTACCAGTTAGTAGCTCTAGCAATCTTTTTATCACTCGGACTATCCGAGCAGGCTATGCCAGAAAGATTATGTGGCCGAAACCTGGCAGATGCCTTAGATTTAGTTTGTTACGATCGGGGATTTCATTGGGAAGTCAGAAAAAGATCAGGTAAGTTGGACTCTTCTTTATTAAAGGCGTATTTATAAATACTCCCAATAGCCTTAAATTGGCAATATGACAGAAGGTCGATATCAATTATTTTATCAAAAGTCTAATGTGGATAGTGTAGGTTAGATAATGGATACCATAATGGATACAAATAAAACGAATATAGACGGTGGTGTGAAATCAACGGAAACTAATGTAAACTTCAAATGGTCATAGGTTACTGATGATTGATTTGGTTTTATTCTGGCTTGTTGTTCCTAAAGAGGAATATGTGCAGCCTCTTATTTAAAAATGTTCAAACAATACTAAAAGCCCAGAAATTCAGACATTAAAATTTCTAATACTATTTACTATAATAAGCTGAAAATCTCACACTATCACTTCACTATAATTTATCTTCCTTGCATGGCGTCATGTTTTCGATCGCTTGAAAAAAAACTACAACAGGTCTGAATATTCATTGTTGGTAACAAGTGGGATTTTGTTGTTTTGCTACTATACAGTCCTGAAGATTCAGATTACGTGTAATTAAAATTACATTACAATTTGATTTCGTTTATTTTTTTACTTTCGAATAGTAACCCTACATTTTAATTTAACACATGTTCTATTAAAACCGTGTTCTATCAACCATATATATTTTAACTTTAAACTCATTAGCTCACCCTGGTATACCAATACTGATCATTTGATTGGTCAATTAGTTCGCGTGATAATGTCAGTGTAGTACAACATAAAGAATAAAACGGCAAATGATTTAATCAAACCTTCATATTTCGAAAATTACTTCTTTGCATGAAAACTAAATCCAACGACAAAATTCGTAGCAAAGTTGTGTTGCCATTTTGAAAGTTCATCTATGGATGTACGCGGCGGTTGCCTTTTCCTTAGTCCATAAATCCTTTTAACTTTAAGTTCCAAAATTATTTGTTTTACTTTCTTCCAGTAAATCTTTTAGTGGACCCTCCAAGATTGGATGATGCGATAATTTTTCCTATATTGTATTGAAAACGTATTGAATTCAAATTCAAGGACTAAATTTGTTTTCCCACTCGCGTTTTCTGTACTTTACAAAGACACGACTAAAATATATTTATCATCATAATATGTTTCAAATCAAGTTTTATTACTGAAGAACTCCCGATTTATCTAAAATTTTCAGAGGGAATAAAGATATTGAACTTTCAAACATTAGGTGCAGTAGATTTAATCCAAAACAGGGAAAAGGCCGCTTACGAAAGATGTCGAACATGATTTGTTTGGAGTAGTATTTTATCTTTAAAAGACACAATATCTAAAACTTGCTTTAAATCATGAATGTAACGCTGGTCATGACAACGCTGAACGTATAACGTCTAATCCGACGATCAAAGCTACGTTAACTTTTAACGACTCGTTAACATGGAGCTCCAGGTCTACAAACGTGGTGTACTTTATTGGTCTATAATTTTATAAAATCGCCGACCAGTATTGAATAGCATTGTTTATTTAATCATTACTTAACTCAATAAACAACGTCAAAACAAATTTCTTGGTGTGTAGTAGTATCTAATACAGCGTCAATATTTATTTTCTAGGTGTGCATTAGCATCTAATAATACAACGTCAATATTTATTTTCTAGGTGTGCAGTAGCATCTAATACAACATCTTTATCTGCTTTCCCGGTTTGCAAAAGTATCTAAGTCAATATTTATTTTCTAGGTATGCCAGTACTATCTAAAAGACATAATACAATGACTAGTGAAATTATATATGGTAAACGTAGTTACAGTAATAGAAGGGGTGTAGTAGAAGAATGTTGTTATATTGGATGTAACTATGATATTTTAGAAAGTTATTGTGCTCAACCTGGAGATGATGCTCCCGGGGTAAGTAACATTTTTTAATTTGCCTAAGCCTTTCTTACACGCACTATAGTCTTAAACGTACGTCATAATCCTCGACTTTGCGCATTTGTGTTGAAAACACACTTCCACCTCCCTCTGGTCGTGAGGGTGGAGGAATGGGACGCCCCCCCCCCCCAGTGGAATAGCCTCAGGCCTCTCACCGTGAATGATTTTAGTTAAACTACTGGTTTAATGTGTCAACAGTGGAATACAAAATCGATTATGTCCCAATTTTTTTTTTTTGGGGGGGGGGGGGTGTTTTTTTGTCATCTCTCAAAACAAGGGTTAAAAACGCAGAGAGAGAGGGAGAGAGAGACAGAGAGAGAGAGAGAGACAGAGAGAGAGAGCGAGAGAGAGAGAGAGAACCCACGTTGTCACGTGTAAACGGGGAATATAAATCACGCCACTTGACTCAATGATAGACCTTATGATTTCAGGCGCACGTGTTAAACCATTAAACGTCCTAACCCCATAAAACGCTTAAAAGTATTATATATGTCGAAGCATTCTGTTTTATCGCATAAAAAATTCTATGAAATCGAAAATTTTGTTTCTCACACAAATCAAAGAGGTTTAGTTTTGCAAATTTGGACTATTGGTGTGGTAAACTTTTACTTTAAAATCCAAATATGCTTCCGCATATTTTTGTCAAATAAGTTCACGTATGCAACAGCGTTTGATATACAGACCCTAGACTTGTTTATATAAAAATTACCTACTGATGGTCTTTGACCTTTAAAATAATAAGTACATCTTTCTTGTGGCTAATCGGCATAAATTCAGCTTGGTGTCAATCAGATATCAGATTAAACTTTCACTAGTTAGACTAAGGAAATAAATTTGGAAAAGAAAAACAAAAAACATCTATGAGTCAGGCCTTAAAGTTGGCCGTTATGTCTATATCTTTCTATTAAATACGTCAAGTCTGACGGTTACAAAATAAAGCAACTATTATTAGATATATCCTGGACGATGATCGTGTGATGGTGACCTTCAACCTTGATCCACTTTTCTAAAGTCGCGCCATATAAATCAGGCACGTGTTCAGAGGTGGGTGTGTGTGTGGGGTGGGGATGGGTCAAATATTTTCATTTTTTCCTACTTTCTCCTACGTCGAACAAAGGAACTAGGAAGCATTATTTCCGTTGTTGCATCACTCCACACTGTAATCCCATACATGAGTAGAAATATTTTCTAAGAGCTTCGGATTACGCAAAATTTTCGGGTAAACCCCCAGACCTAACGCCAAACTTTACGTTGTCTCCACACCCACCCAACTCCAACCTTGAGTATGCCCCTGTAATTATGATTTAACCACACAAAGCAGATACACCAACACACCCTTACAACAGAGGCCGTTGCTTGGATAGGATTGTTGATGCCCGGGGTCAATTCTGTGAGTGCAAGACATTCAAGTATAGGACCTTTTAGATTTGTAAACATACAAGAAATGAACTTTCAATTTAAATTAAGTAGGACAGCTTATACACCAAGGTTAAAACTGATAATTCCAAATTTAAAAAAAACAAAAACTTTAATTTCACTCTTTGATTGGATTCAACTCTGAAATGGATGACCGGGGCCAATGTCCCCGAGTTTCCTCTCTGCACGCAATTGAACTGACGTGGTGCCAGTACATTTGGACTTTCGCTATCGGATACTGAACTTTCATCCCCGTTAATTACTTTCTACAGAAAATAATGAAGCCATAAGATTGTCATTTCATCTGTTCACCTTGTGACAAGGTGTCACCGGGTTTCGATGCAAGTTTCTTGGTCGCGTTTACTACTACAAAGAGTACTGAAATATGTATCTTCCTACTATTATATACTTGCTGTCTCGAATTTGTCCTTTGATTTTTTGTTTGTTTTTGTTAGGATCAATAGTAGTAGTAATTAGAAGGTGATTGAATACTAGATTCAATTTAAATCGGCAAAAAAGACCGTGCTTATCCGTTATCAGGGATGATAATTGATTTTACTTGAAGTACGCTATTATAAAGGTAGTCTTGTAAGCTGAAAGCATTAAAAAACGATGTCAGGAACCAGGTCACTGACGTTCTGTATTTCATGTAAATACAAAATATGTTTTTGTATATGCCTATTGATGACGTCACTAGACAACAAATCCGGTATCGTGTACTGTGTGTATAAATGTGTTATGTATGTTTGAATAACATTTTATATAATAGGGGTTTTTTTTAGGTTAAAATTTTAATGATAAAATTTCTTCACACTCGTCATATTTTTATAAATATATTTTAATAAACATGTTTTAATAAACATGTTTTAATAAACATGTTTTAATAAACATGTTTTAATAAGATTTTAATAAACATGCTTTAATAAGAATTTAAAAAAACATGTTTTAATAAAATTTTAATAAACATATTTTAATAAGAATTTAATGGGGTGTTCCCACTTTGCCAGCAGATTAACAGTACTAATTAAGGGGTTAGGAGACCAGAGATATAGAGTTATAGTCTGTTTTAATCATCGTATGAACAGTTTTAATCCATGATCTAAGTTCACTAGCTGATGTTTCGTTCACATGTCATTTTGTAGTGAACACTCTATGATGATGAACATTGTTTTTGATACATAGTTAAATAGCTGCAAAGTTAAATTGTATTTCATTCCATAATGGCTTATGCACAAGTTAAAGGACAATATTGGTGCCAGTCATTATCACATATGTGATAGAACTGGTTAAACACATTCCAAATATCATTTTATCACAGAGATCATTGCTACGATAGAGGCGTAATCAATGCTTCAACTATCGGAAATGACGAACGCAAAAGGAAAATACGAGTTATCCCTCTATATAACAGATTGAAGTGACGGGTGATAACAGGTACATGGGCGAATTTCTGCCCACTAATAATTCCTCGAAGACCAAAAGTTGTTATATGAGACTGTGTAAGAGTATATCTGGAAATTCAAAAAAGTAATTGAATTTCATTAGATAAGAGAACACGAATAAAATAGAAACAGTCCGTACATTCACGCGTGTTTATTTATTCTATCCTTATAAAAACATGGTAATGCACGGACTTTTTCTATTTTCTTTCATGTTCTCTTATCTAGTAACAGTCAATTTTTTTAATGAATTGTCAGATATCCTTTCACAGTCTCACACAACAACTTTTGGTCTTCGAAGGAATTATTAGTGGGCAGAAATTCGCCCATGTACCTGTTATCACCCGTCAATTCAATCAGTTATATAGAGGGATAACTCGTGTTTTCCTTTTGCGTTCGTCACTTCCGATTGCTGAAACATTGATTCCACAGCTATCATAGCAATTATCTCTGTGATAAAATAACATCTGGAATGTGTTTAACCAGTTCTATCACATATATGATAATGACTGGCACCAATATTGTCCTTTAACGTTCAATTCATTCCAAATTCTCGAGGTACCCAAAGCCTAGTTTATAATAATCACAAGTTCGAGTTAAGACTAGGAGAACAGATACCGTTCATTGGAAGTGTACTGTCCGCGAATTGTCTGCTAAGAACTAAGAACGGTCTTATCACTAATCTACATATAGCCCCCGCTGTATGACGGTAAGTGATATGTACCTACGCCTATACAATTGCGATGCGGCACCGGTTTACTTATTAGGAAAACTTGCATCTTTTAAAGAGAAGTTATCAAAATTGTGGCGCTTGAAGCGTGTGTAGACTTTTCAGTGCCAAGTTGTCCTTGTTTAAAGAAAATCGGATAAACTTGAAAGAAAAACAGCTCCAGACTTTGAAATATTTGTATGATAAAACATTCTTCAAAGGTGTCGTCATGGGCAACACCGTTGGTAATCGGGGAACTTGAAAGTAGTTCCAATAGTGGACTTAGTCATACAGCCGAGGCAAGATGTAGGATACTAGAATCTGCTATATACAGAAACATTCATAGTGATCCAGCCGATCCTTCTAAGTTGAAAGTCGATATGTTCCTATCAATTATGAAAGAAGCGGTTAAAGTGGATTCTATACCAGTTCCAGCTATATACCAAGAACAAATCAACATCAACAGTACGTATTAGAAATAATAAATATTTTAAATTATATATAATAGATTTTTAAAATTACTTTTAACTCGTATACCATTATTGTAGAATCAGTGAATGCGAATTTAATTATTCATTGGATATGATATATGACTTTGAATAAATTCTATAATATTGTTCCTTTCATTGTAGAGTTACGAATTTAAGGAGTAGATGACTACATCAAGGATATTCCAACCTTTTTTACAGTACACTTTCAAGTCTATGTCGTGCCAGATCCAAGAATTTCACACCTATACCCAAGGAACGACCTGATATTGCCCTACCTCAATGGTTTCAAGAAATTACAAATGATGACAACTTCCTACTTCACACTGAAGACCGGAATAAGATGCTAGTATTCTGCACCCAGGAAAATCTCTACCAACTAGTAACAACCGATACCCTATATTGCGATGGAACCTTCGCTATGTGCCCTTGTCTGCGATGTCACCTCGGTGGAAGCGGACGTTAAATAAAGCTATTTCACACACGCTATGTGCGCGACCCTTTATTACCAGTTGTACACCATCTATGTATTGGTACTAAGACGTTTTCCTTGGTATATGCCCTACTGCCAGATAAACGACACCCTACATGCCAACGTCTATTCCGAGAGAGAAGGCCAATTTGTTGAATATGTTGAATACCATTTTCACAGACTATGAATTAGACGCACAGAACGCAGCCAGTTTAGGATCTGATTGTACTCTTAAGGGTTGTATGTACCACTTCCGACACGCTATTTGGAGAAATACCCAGAAACATGGTTTGCAGAAACTATATGGTGAGAAGGATTTTGTGACCTGTTTTGCTAAAAGAGCTGTCGCTTTAGCCCTAATTAAATCTGGTGATGGTGAAGACGTTTGGTTTCATGCTTTAATATATGTCGATATGGATATTCCCGGCGTTCGTGAATTTGCAGAGCAGTGAGTTGAAGAAGTTGATATGGCTATATGGAACCATTTTATACTGATGTCCCGAGAACAGCCAACAATGTCGAGGGTTGACATTCGAAATTAAACAAAGTATCCACCAACCACCCTAATATTTACAGATTTATTAAGACCAAAGAAAAGAAAATACATACAGTTAGATAGAAGAATAAGGGAGGGAAATAGAAGATTATTAGCTGATGATAAGAACTTATTAGAATATGGAGTTGACTAACTTTGATCATGTACATATCAATTTTATCATAAACTACAAAGTTTGAAATAAAGTTATATTCAGTTTTTCGTCGGAGTTTCTTATGTCGAAACAATCCATCCTAACAAAAGAATTCTAAAAATCGTTGATCTATGGAAAGCTTACAAGATGTCTGTGATAACGTACACATGGAGAAATATGTGCGTGACTTGTGGCTAGGTCAGTAATTCTTGAAAGATGACAGGGAATTTACAAATCCGCGACTTTTATTGTTGGTGATAGTCCTGGGGAATAACTCCGACTCTGAACTTCGAAAGGGTTCCTACTAGTCCGAATTGTCGGATTCTTTCGCTAGCCTTTTTGGTGGTTATTGGAATGTTTGAAGCAGTGCTTAATCTTCCAAGCAACACAACTGTCACCAAAAAGAACAAAAACATGGCCTCTTCCCTGTCTGTCAAAACAAATTACAAAAACAAGTACATATGTCTCTCGCGTGGCTGTTAAAAGCTACAATACAGATCCCCCCCCCCCCTCACCCCAAGACTGTTAAACACCATAAAGGGGCAAGTGAGGGCATGCAGATATGTCGGATCAGTTTTCCCCTACTTTTTTAGCCGAACAAACTCCGGTTACAAGGTTTCAATAACAAGGACAATAACTTGTTTAACAGGTGAACGAACGTGTCATGGTTTCTGGTTTTGGTAGGTCGGGGCGATAAGATTTCTCCAAAGGTTCGGAGATTTTTAGATTCCAACCTCGACATATCTTATATCATTTTTCTTTCCAAAGACGCATCTCCGACTTAGTTATTTCGAAAGCAAAATACAGAACCATACATCTTCATATCCCTTTTATAATCTAAATATGAGATTCGTATAGCAAATCACTGTTAGTGAAATAATAATGTACAGGCTATTAATGTCATTTATTTTTATCTTTTCAGAGTGGATCTAGAATTTTATTCGGGAGAACGACAGCACGACCTATACCAGTCCCACAGACAACACCACCGCCTCCTGTAGTCACCACACCAAGCCATGACTTCCCATCTGCCGTATTCAACTCAAACCATCGACGTGGACATGCTGCCAGAAAACATTTCTTCTATGTTCAATTAGGAACACGACCAACACGTAGCCCATTAATATAAACTATTTAACAAAACGCACACTCCAATATCATTCCGATTCAAGACACATAAATCAGAACGAGTTATTTCCCTTAGCGGAAATGAACAGCAGTCTCCTGTACCTTACTTGAAACCTTTTTTTTTTGACTATTGTAAGAAGAACTGATCTTCATTATGTAAATCAAGAAATTGTTTTAATCTTTGTTTTCTCTCTTAAATGTCAAGTCCTATATAAGGGCTAAACATTTCGAGTAGGATTGTTGGGAACAAACAGCAATCTAAAGAATGAGGACTGGCTACACGCCGAGGTTTTAGGAGAGGCCTACAAGCCGCCTTGTGTGCTTTTTGTTTAGCTAATATTATTTCGGGCATTTTCAACTTCGTCTCTAACTTTACGAAGAATATATTCCCAGTGCCTCATTATGCCGTCATAACGTTTGGGTTATTAGAGATGGCGCCAGTCATTTTATATCATAAGCCCCCGTGAAGATATTAACAAACAAATTAATGATATGTTTTAATTATTTATCTTAAAATATTTATCAGCGATGTAATAATTGTATGCATTATTTTCTTTTGTTTATCAACTTTTTTTTCGACAATCGAATTTGTGTTCGAAGCTTAATTGCGTAACTATCTTAGAATTAGACTAAATTAGCCTAAGTCTTGTTTCTACGTTTTCTTTTAATACAATTATGTATATCGGAGTCAATTATAGGCGCCTATCTTTTGAATATTTTAAAACTTGTAAGAAATGATATATAATGGCAAAAAATAATATTAGTTATGGCATGGAATCCATTAAATCGACTGTATAGCCGTAGAAATCTATTGGTATTTCAATATTAACATAACATTTAATGAATTTAGAATTTGCATTTCATGAAAAAAACATTTAGAATATCATATATATTTTTGGGAAAAAAAGAAATACATTAATCTAACCTGTATATTTGTGTCGCTTCGTTTATTTACTATTTGTGTTTCATTTTGGGTCCCGCTTTTCGGCCTAAATGTGATTGTTTCACAGAAATGTTTTGTCACTTGCTGAACAGCTTTTCTTGTTATCATGTTATATTTTTGTAAATAAAATGTTACGGTTATTCTGTAAAAATATATTCTCTAGAGTGATTGGTAGATTTCCAGTCGTTTCTAAATTCTCCACCTTAGTCCAACTCAAGTCCACGTCCTGTTATTATTTGTTTTCGGTGTTTGTTGGGGTTTGAATGTATGTACGCTGTACCATAATCTCACGATTTGGTTTAGAAGCTTGCGCGAACTGCTTTATTGATTGGACACTGTGCAGTACAGGTGTCTAGCAAGGACACTGTCTAATCGATCGAATGGCACGAAAAACCAAGGTCCCGTATACTTATCAAAGAAACCTCGACAGTTGAAATTCGAAATAAAAGCAGACCGTAGCACTGCTCTCCGGTTAATATTTCCCCCATAGAAAACTGCATGGCATATGCCAGTCTACATTAGTCCAGTCGGCGCCGGAAACAGGACGTTAAACCCCATTGGCTTGGCTAGTCTAAATATGCGGGATGGAAGCGCACGAAAAGTTTGAGATGAGTGTGGCACATACTTGGTATTATAGGTCAGTTCCTGCAAAGTGAAAATATGAGAGAGAAATGTGTTTTTAATTCCCTTAGTTCAACTAGACTGATCTCGTATTTGTTTCAATTAAAAGGTACCCAAATGCTACACTGACCGAAAAGCTGGTTATTTTCGATGACTTTGGATTTCAGTAGGATACACGCTTGTGACTAGCTTTTGAGATAGTGGGAATGGACTTCATTTTATTGCCAACCAAACATTCCCTCAAAGTATCAATCAAGAACTCGGTATCAGAATTAAACTTGCGATTTGGTTCCAAAGTGCAAAATTACATCGCCCTATGATGGTCCGCTAGTCCCCTTTCCATCGTTTCTTCGCTTAAAAGAAGAGCCCATTACAAACAGTCACTCCAAATATCTTTAAGTAGTTGTGTTATCTCCGAATTAGGGTTTCTATAACACCTGATGTTACTTCTCATTTGAGGAGTCTATATGTAGCTACCAGATCAATCCTATTGTGTCATAGTCCTTTGGTCAGGGCGGATGCCGTACGGATATTTGGACTATTGGACTATGCCTGGTGGCCTGGGGCCGCTAGGGACAAATGGGGCGATGGGCTAGATTTAAAAAAAAACAATCTTGAAAAAATGGCATTGAGAGACTTTTGACTCCATCACCAGGAATTCCCCGCTTAGTATCAAATGGTCTCCGGTGACGCATCATTGTTATGATTGGACAGTCTAGATTTGTTATAAAAGATAGCTGAGTTTCAACATAACAATATGCTGTACTTTTGTGTCTTTAAGTCAGGTTCTTGACGACAACACTGGTTTAAACGTCATATAATACTTTTATTCCTCTTTAAACATATCATGTACAAAACTTAAGACTTGGCTTGACACCCTCAGGTGCCAACTCCCAACTAACTTACATGGACGCTGCCCGGTCTTAACCCTAGACCTGCCCGGTCCCAAGTTAACTTCTAGACACCCTCGCCTAGTCTGCCCTCGTCTCGTCTCGTCTACCGATCTCGTTTCCATTCTGGGTTTATAAAGCCTTCTAGACAAAGGATCTTATTACACATCTGGCTACGCATCATATCGGATTTAACATTCAGTACAGTTTGCTTATAAAACAAAGGAAATTAAATAAAACAAGCCAACCATGAGTTTATAATGGAAATGACTAATGAATGCCATCAGGACCACCATGAGTGTCGTTAGCAGACAGGTTGATGTTAAAATCAGTTCCGCTTTCACGTGTCAAGAGGGCACGAAGTGTCTATAACATCTGTCATTATGTACCACACCTTTCTTTCTTTAATTTTTTCAAGGCCGTTACAAAATTGAATATAAATGGAGTCGATAATAACTACGCTAATTAAGTCTAAAAAAAATCCAAAGAACAAAACACTAATTTAAGAGTTATATATACACAGAGGTTTTTTTTGTACACCACTATGTCTCGCACGATCACTAATAATACAAATTCTTCTAATGGTCACACACGCTAATTATTGAAATGACATATAACACGAATTCTAGTAATGGTCACACTCGCGGGTTATTAAAATAACCCACATATATAATACAAACTATTCTAATGGTGACACACGCGAGTTATTGAAATCACATAATATATATAATATAAATTCTTCTAATGGTCACACACTCGTTTTCAATCAATCAATACAAAGTCACACACGCGTTGAAGAAATTGTTTCTTTCTTCTTCTTGGGTACAAGATATATCTCTTTCCTAATTTTTCCATCCTTCTCTTCTTTCATTTCCTTCTCGTCTTTAAGATTGGCTGCTATTTTTTTTTTCGGGTAGTCTTCTCCCTTTCCTTGCCGTCTAGCCGAACGGTGTGTTATGAAATGTCGTGCTATGAAGAATATTCTAACTGCCACCCGTGCCCATGGAGTGAACTTAATTAATGGTTAATCAAATTAGCAAGTGGAACAGACTTTAGATAACGATGTATTTTAAAATATTTACATTAGAATTGACATGAACTAAATTGAAAATATAGGATGTCGTATTATTTTACCTCAAGATAAAGAATAATGAATGATCTGAACACATTTCACCAATCTTAACCCTTTAATACCAAGCGTATCAGATGTGCACACCTACATGATATACATATTATAATCCCTGTGGAATATTTTTATTATTTACTGTTATAATATGAATTATCACTTATTCCCTGTCACCGAGTGCAGCTGTACAACTTCAAGGGCCCTGGCCTCAAGTGTCTGGGACCAACTCTACACTTTCTGAAATATCAATAAAAGCTCCGGAATGATTTCAATTTAACAAAATAAACAATAAGTAAATCTATTTTTATTTATATGCTATTTGTTGCCAGAAATTATCTATTCAAATTTAAAAATAAACAACATTTTTTTCTGAAAATCAATGTCGAAATTTAGTGTATCATATATACTCTTCAAAAAAAAGTAGGGGATATTGAAATGCAAATACCTATGCAGGTTGTGATATGATAAATAGTCATGGACACTTGACATGCTTTGAGAGTATGTTCACAGATGAAGAACTTATCGCCCCAACAGAACCACTGAGCTGCACGTGCAACACGCAATAGCGCCATACACGTGGCAGGGCTGGTTTATCCTATCCGTGTTTGCTTTCCTATCGGTTCTTGCATAAGATTTACTGTTTAGCGTGTCTTTGATTTAGTGTGTTACGTTTAATTTGCAATAGGACGTCTTTAACATGATGAACGTCTATGTGCTATTGGCATGCTTTAAATGGGTTCTACACAGCGAGCGGTAGCCAACATGCTTAATGTGTCACAGTCTGTGATCAGCAGACTGTGAAACCGGTACCAACACACAATGTTGATGATAGACCTCGTTCATGTCGTCCTAGAGCCGCTACACAAGCCCAGGATCGATACATTCGTACACAGGTCCTGCGAAATCGAGGACAAACGGCCAAGTTACAGGATTAGAAATCGGCTACATGCAGCCCATTTGCATGTGCGACGACCGCGTGTTGTGCCTCCATTAACTCGCCAGCACATGGAAAACAGGCGTCAATGGTGTAGGCAGCGTAGAAATTAGGGTAATCGTCGATGGGCGCGTGTAATGTTCCCAGATGAGTCCAGATTTACTCTGGATTTCACCGATAGGCGTGCTCGCGTTTGGTGGCGTGTAAATAAGCGTCATGCTAACGTTAACGTCAGACAGCATGACAGATTCGGGCGTGGGTCTGTTATGGTGTGGGGAGGAATCACCATGACTGGCAGAACGGGCATGTATATTGTTCAAGGAAGGGTCACATGCGTGTACTACCATGACAACATCCTGGCACCGATAGTTGTGCCCTTTGCTCAACGTGTAGGTCGACGTTTCATCTTTCAAAATGATAATTACCTCGCCCCCCGCGCTCGTGTCGTGAATGACTACCTCCAGCGTCACCATATTGTCCATATGCTTCGGCCAGTCATGAGTCCTGACCTTACCCCTATAGAGCATGCCTGGGACATGATCGAGAGACTTGTTCGTCGACGTCAACGTCAACCGACAACACTGCAAGAATTGACCGTGGCTCTGCAAGAGGAATGGTCAGATTGCTCCAAATCGTGATTGGACGGTTGATTAGGAGCATGCCACGACGAATTGCTGAATGTCTGAGGATTGGTAGAGCAATTACTCATTATTAAGACAAAAATCAAAAACGACCATTTTCACTTTTGACGGGGTATCTCTTTGCGAGTGAAATGGGGCCGTCAGATAAGCCGCCCATATGAACTGTTTATGTTCATGTGTAGGGAATTGACCTGTTATTAACATACACTGGTTAGCTCTAACAAAAACAGCAGTGCATTTCCGCCGTTTTGTATTGTTTCTGAATATCCCCTACTTTTTTTAAGAGTATATGATACAAGGGGTCTGGGCAATATAATATAGAATTTATGCAGTGTTCTTATTTTGTGTTAAAAGAGTGCCAGAAATTTAGCCATTTGTGTATTTTGTATAATATTAATTATATGTGTGTATTACAAAGCTCGGATTTGTGTACATCCCACCCCCTCCCCTCGTATCACTACCATGCACATATTAATTCTGCTGCCAACCCGCCCACGTGAACATGACTAAATTATGAAACATTGTCTAGTCGTTGGTATGTTACGACAATAAGAGGTCAGCGTCGCTCATTTGTGCAGGACGGACGGTCTTGCAAGGAAGAATGTCTAGTCGTTTGGATGGTACGAAAAACCGAGGTCACCGTGGTTCCCCGTCGTCAGTGGTGCTGGATTGAAGGCCTGGCAAGGAACATTGTCTAGTGGTGCAGGATGGAAGGCCTGACAAGGAACATTGTCAAGTGGTGAAGGACGGAAGGCCTGGCAAGGATGTGTCTAGTTGTTTGGATGGGACGTAAAACCGAGGTCCCCTTTGTCTCCCCTTGTCCG